TATATAGGTTGATAAGTAGCCGTTAAGTAGTCGTTGGGAACAAATTAATGGTATAATATTTGTTAGTTAATCATTCATGATTATAAAATATTAATTAATCGTGTATATTACCTTAAAAAAATTTCTGAGTCACTATGTGAACAATTTAGTGAATATAAGTAACAAAACAAATAAAAATGTCACTCTACACTACTCGATAAATCTTTCGGAGGGTACAAGAATAAGCAGTTATAAATTTCACGCCACATTATTGGGTAAAATATTTTGTGGGTGGTAAGTATAAGTAATAATATTATGTACATTTATTTATAACTTGAAGGTATTTACTCATAATCAGTAGTAATTAATAAGCAAATTTAATAATATTATCTTACCACATATTGTTGACTATGACAGAGCCTTACTTGCCAATAATAATGGTAATATGTAAATAATGTCATATTTAGTATATTCATACCAAATGTCCTTGACTGTGACATACCCTTACTTGTCAAGAATAATAGTAATATGTATATTAGTAAAATATACTAATTTTATGGAATATATATACATATATAATTATTAAATTTCTACCTTTTTGAGTGGGTAGAACGCTCGTGCTGATAACGTGTTATAAAAAAGGGAAAGATAAAGAACACAAATGTAGAAACTAAATATAAATTATACTGAATATTTCTTTCCTTCTTCTTTCTTCTTGATTGTATTTCTATGTGTGTCAATACTCAATGAATTGAGCAGGCATAAATTTGCCCACCTCTCTTGGACAATTTTTACAAATGACTATTGTTACAACATCAACAATAAAAACTGTTAAGGCCATCCTCCAACCGAAAAACCCAAACGCAAACCCATTTTGCAGTAACTATCCTATTTTGCAGTAATTCATCTCCAACCGAAAAACTCATTCTCAAACCCAAAAGAATATTCCCACAATATTCTCTTTTACACCAACTTTTATAACTTTTCAATACTATCCACATATTTTACAACTTTACAAATTAAACCACACTATTATTTTAAATTCAATTTGGACTTTATGTAATTAAAATTAATTATACATAATAAAATTGGAGAAATAAATATTCATTAAAAATTAAAATTTCACCACACAAATAAAATTAAAAATTACAATTCACAAGATGAAAAATTAAAAATTACAACATACAAGATGAAAAATTAAAAATTATAACACACATGAAAATTAGAAATTACAACACACAAGATGAAAATTTAAATATTACAACACACAAGAAGATACATATACATCTATGTACCGATTGAAACAAAACTGTTACTTTTGAAAATATATGATTTAGTGCAAATTTACACTCTAGACCATATATGGTCTAGCGCATATATTCACATTTTAAAAACTGTTACTGATTCATTCGATACTTATTTTTTTTTAAATATTTAATATTTTAAAAATTTCAAACTAGAGAAAATTTATTTTATTAATTAAGACTAATAATGTTTCTCATTTTTTTTCATATTATTAAAAAAATTGGATATGTTTGTAATTATTAAATTTTTTCTTTATTTTTTATGATATTTTATTTTAATTTTAACTTTTTTACATTTATACATGTTATACAACTTTTCCTTTCTTCTCTTATGTAAAAATATAATTTCAATTTATATTATTTTTAAAATAAGTATCCAATTTCTCTTAGTAATTTTATAATTTCTTATTGTAATTATTTTATTTACTTTAATTTTTTAAGATTATATTACGTATATTAATAATATTAGGTGTCTGTTCATGCTTACAACATATATATATATATATAAGATATACAAAATAGGAGAATATAAATTTAATACAAATGAGGCATTTTGATAAAATGAAGGACTAAATTGATAGATGAAAAAGAGAAATGCGTTTGCTACAGTAAAAATGCAAATATGGGGTTTGAGGAGAGAGAAAATGGGTAAAAACTCATTTTGAGTTTGAGTTTGGAGTTCGGTTGGGCATATTTTGCTGCATTTTTTACGTTTTGGGATTCGATTGGAGAAAGTATAAGGATGTAGGGCATTTACACCTACCAAAGGAGAGACGTATCGGATTTGCCTAGCGCGTGACTTTCCCTCTCTCCTCAATCCTCTCAAACAAACACAACACCTACCAATCTCCACCGTCAAGTCTTCACCCACGTCATCAATCCTTGCCTCATCAATCCAACGGCGGATCTTTCCTTGTTAAACATTATCACTACACTAACTCTACCGCGGTCAAGCGTAACTCAACAATAACTCATCTAACTCGGAGAGTGACTCACTCACCTTCATTATGTAATAGGGAAGCGCGAGGGCTTTGTAGTGAGAGAGAGAAACAAAACCACATAATCTCCAGCAGGGTTTAATCATTTCAATCTCCATCGCTTAAGAAGATTGATATCCTGAATACCAACAATAAATGGATGAGATCTGGGAGAGGGCGGTTGAGACAGCATTAGACGGCCAAACTGACGTCGATTTGGTCCGAACGCTGACTCTGGACGGCGCCGTTAAGTGCGTCCAAGGCCGTTTGCCCCCGCCGTCTCTCTTCGACAAGTTTCGCAACCTGCAGCACCTCTCCATGGCCAACATCGGCGTCTCGTCCCTCGACCACTTTCCCAGCCTCCGAAACCTGCAGAAGCTCATCCTTTCCGACAACCGGATCGCCGGTGGACTCGAGTTTCTTGTCGGCGCCGGCCTAGATTCGCTGCGTGACCTTGATTTATCCAATAACAGGATTTCTAACATTAACGATTTAAGGCCGCTGGCGGAGCTGAGGTTGGTCTCTTTGGATCTCTACGAGTGCCCTGTCACTCGGATTAAGGACTACCGATCTCGTGTTTTCGGTCTGATTAGGTCGCTGAAATATTTGGATAAGATGGATGCTGAGGAGAACGAGCGGCCAGAATCTGATGACGAGGAGGAGGATGAAGAGGATGACCCCGGGAGTGGAGAAGTTGACGGTGATGACCGCCGGAATGGAAACGGGCACCAGAATGATGGCATCTTGGATGTTGATGATGATGATGATGATGATGATGATGATGATGATGATGATAATGATGATGATGAGGAGGAGGAGGAGGAAGAGGAAGAGAGTGATGGGGATGAGGATGAAGCAGAGACCTCTATGCCGGTTAACAGTGGGGGGGATAATCAAGGCCATCATTTCTCAAATGGATTTAGAGGGGAGGCTGTGGATCTTGGGGAGGATGAAGAAGAAGGGAATGAGGAGGATGATGATTTGGTTGAGGAAATATTTGAGGATGATGATGAAGGTGAGGATGATGATGTGGTGGAAGTTCATGATGTAGATGACAGTGATGGGGAGGATGGCGTGGAGGATGATGAAGATGGCGATGACAGTGATGAGGAGGAGGAGGAGGATGACGAAGAAGAAGTGGATAATGATGAGAAAGGTTTTGGTGGTCCGGCAAGTAGCAGTAGGTTGACGAGAATGGAGGGTGAAATTGATGGTCATGAGCAAGGGGAAGATGATGCCGATGATGATGGGGAAACGGGGGAGGAAGAGCAGGCTCTGGGCCACGATGGAACCTTTGACGATGAAGAAGAGGCTGATGATGAGGTAGTAATTCTATTTATTTATTTATTTTATCATTTTAGTCCTTCGGTGTGGATTTCTAATTTCTTGTTTTGGTTCAAGCTTTGTGTTTTTTTTTTTTTTTTTTTTTTTTTTTTTTTTTTTTTTTTTTTTTTTT